ATCTATCTATCTATCTATCTATCTATCTATCTATCTATCTATCTATCTATCTATCTATCTATCTATCTATCTATCTATCTATCTATCTATCTATCTATCTATCTATCTATCTATCTATCTATCTATCTATCTATCTATCTATCTATCTATCTATCTATCTATCTATCTATCTATCTATCTATCTATCTATCTATCTATCTATCTATCTATCTATCTATCTATCTATCTATCTATCTATCTATCTATCTATCTATCTATCTATCTATCTATCTATCTATCTATCTATCTATCTATCTATCTATCTATCTATCTATCTATCTATCTATCTATCTATCTATCTATCTATCTATCTATCTATCTATCTATCTATCTATCTATCTATCTATCTATCTATCTTCTATCTATCTATCTATCTATCTATCTATCTATCTATCTATCTATCTTCTATCTATCTATCTATCTATCTATCTATCTATCTATCTATCTATCTATCTATCTATCTATTATCTATCTATCTATCTATCTATCTATCTATCTATCTATCTATCTATCTATCTATCTATCTATCTATCTATCTATCTATCTATCTATCTATCTATCTATCTCTATCTATCTATCTATCTATCTATCGTACTATCTATCTATCTATCTATCTATCTATCTATCATCTATCTATCTATCTATCTATCTATCTATCTATCTATCTATCTATCTATCTATCTATCTATCTATCTATCTATCTATCTATCTATATCTATCTATCTATCTATCTATCTATCTATCTATCTATCTATCTATCTATCTATCTATCTATCTATCTATCTATCTATCTATCTATCTATCTATCTATCTATCTATCTATCTACTATCTATCTATCTATCTATCTATCTATCTATCTATTATCTATCTATCTATCTATCTATCTATCTATCTATCTATCTATCTATCTATCTATCTATCTATCTATCTATCTATCTATCTATCTATCTATCTATCTATCTATCTATCTATCTATCTATCTATCTATCTATCTATCTATCTATCTATCTATCTATCTATCTATCTATCTATCTATCTATCTATCTATCTATCTATTCTATCTATCTATCTATCTATCTATCTATCTACTATCTATCTATCTATCTATCTATCTATCTATCTACCTATCTATCTATCTATCTATCTATCTATCTATCTATCTACTATCATCTATCTATCTATCTATCTATCTATCTATTCTATCTATCTATCTATCTATCTATCTATCTAATCTAATCTATCCTATCTATCTATCTATCTCTATCTATCTATCTATCTATCTATCTATCTATCTATCTATCTATCTATCTATCTATCTATCATCTATCTATCTATCTCTCCATCTATCTATCTTTAAACTAAATACTACTTCCTGTTCTTAAAATTGTCGAATAACCATTATCGCCCTAAAATGAAAATCTGAAATCATTCCTAGTCTACATGACACAATATTTCCCCGTTATTTACCCTCAAAAAACTACTTGCTTCTATACGGTAAATAAAATTTATTTAATATTTTCTGTCTGAAGTGAAAGATGACAAAAATTGCAAACAAAACTAAAAACAAATCAAATGATTACGTTTTCAAATGACAAGTCAAATCATTTTAAAGTTTTTTTTTTTCGTTTTAAAAGGAAAAAACTTCAATTTGTTTATCAATTAATTAAGATGTGTGAAAAAGTGATATGTTTGTTGGTTGGACATTTGCTTTTTTAATAACAATTTGCATTCATGTTCTAAATTTGATGAATTGTGTTTTTTAAGTTTTAGTTGGTTGGGAAACTACTAACCAAAAGTAAATATTTATAATGATTATCATGAATTTACTCATGATTTTGAATATGATATTTGTGGTTTTCTGTGATGAAATCTTTGAAGTTCAAGGGTAAAGGTTTAGTCAATCAATAGTTTTCTCTCAGTCATATATGGGGTGTTAATTATTTAGGCGCTGGCTGTTAACCCCTTAACTATGGGTTAATAACTTTTGTCGAATAGATGTCGTTGTATTCAGTTTCAGTACATTAACCCTTTTTTATGAAATTCGTTAGAATTAATATTATTTGTTAACAAAATATGTTAAACATTTATGTCTTTATGTTACGAGTTTAGATGTAATTTTGATACGTAGGTGTGTAAATATTTTATTTTGTATTTATTAATACAAAAATTTTGTATTAATAATTAATTGAAATCGTATATTGAGATGTTAAATTGAATCGACTTATTTCACATGTGAGCATTATAAACAAAGTTTGTTAAAAGTACACACATTTCGTTCGTTAAAATTATATCGGATATATGAATAATTTAAATTAAAATCGGCTTTTATCAGAGTTCATTTTTTACATTTATTCAATTTCAACATTAACATCTTGGGAAAATTACATCCACCGTAAGTTCCCTTCTCTAGCATGTTAGAGGTCCCATAGTTCAGTTCTAGTTCATAAATATATAAATAAATTAATGATTGAGCTATAATGACAGCATAAATATAGATTGGCATATTTTACAAAAAAATCTTAATTATCGTCAGGCTAACATAATTAAAACTTTCTGCGTATATATGTAGGAGTTTCTGACGTCACACAATCTTTATTCCTATTGGTTAATAATTTTCACCTATAAATGTAAAATTGGGACAATTTATTATTTTTATCTAAAAATTAATAGGGTAACCATTCTTTTCATAAATTTATTTATTTATTCATTCATTCAGTTCTAGTTCAGTTCTAAGTAGTTAAGTTCTAGTTGAGTTCTAGTTCAGTTCTGCCAATACTCTCCACCATATTAATTAATTTGCTAAATCAGTGTGCGGTCTTATGTCTATTTTATAAAGACAACAGTAATTTGTTATTAAAACTAAACAAAAAGAAATATTATAATTAATTAAAAAAATAATTTCTATATTTAACTAATTTTGAATAATTAAAGATATTAATTATATTTTTTATTGTAAAAAATGTCAAGGAAAGTTTTTAATATATAAATAAACTAATGATTGAGTTAATGACAGCATACATAAATATAGAAAGACATTTTTACAAAAAAAAAATCTTAATTAATTCTGCTAAGGCGAACATAATTAAAACTTTCTACGCATTTAGGAGCTCTAACGTCAAAAAATGTATGTTCCTATTGGTTAATAATTTTAAGCTATAAATATAACAGTGGGTCAATTAATTATTTTTATCTAAAAATTAATAGATAGTAACCATTCTTTTCATAAAGTTCTAGTTCAGTTCTATTTCAGTTCTAGTTTAGTTCTATTGCAGTTCTAGTTCAGTTCTATTGCAGTTCTAGTTCAGTTCTAGTTCAGTTCTAGTTCAGTTCTAGTTCAGTTCTAGTTCAGTTCTAGTTCAGTTCTAGTTCAGTTCTAGTTCAGTTCTAGTTCAGTTCTAGTTCAGTTCTAGTTCAGTTCTAGTTCAGTTCTAGTTCAATTCTAGTTCAGTTCTAGTTCAGTTCTAGTTCAGTTCAAGTTCAGTTCTAGTTCAGTTCTAGTTCAGTTCTAGTTCAGTTCTAGTTCAGTTCTAGTTCAGTTCTAGTTCAGTTCTAGTTCAGTTCTAGTTCTAGTTCAGTTCTAGTTCAGTTCTAGTTCAGTTCTAGTTCAGTTCTAGTTCAGTTCTAGTTCAGTTCTAGTTCAGTTCTAGTTAGTTCTAGTTCAGTTCTAGTTCAGTTCTAGTTCAGTTCTAGTTCAGTTCTAGTTCAGTTCTAGTTAAGGTGAAGCACTTTATATTTTTCAAGAACTAATGTAATATTTTAAACAGTCAAAGTCTAAAAGAAAGTTTTTAAAAAAAATTTAGGTTCCCTATTAAAAGGAAAATTTTTAAAAAAATTCTATAACAAGAAAATTTTTAATAGAAAACAAGTTGGAAAGTATAGTCGGGCATGGCCGACCATATAATACCCTACACCATGAGTATATTTTAAAAATTTTTATTTTTCACAAAGAAACTTTTATGTTGAATTTTACGTTAATTCCAAAGTATTTAAGCAATTTGTTGATAAAAAACAAATTTTCTAAATGATGCTTTATATAGGTGTATAGGTCAAAAATGGGCCGATCCTCATTAAATTTGGGAAAAGGATATATTTTTAAATAATAGTTAATTATGTTGAGTTTCATTGCGATACAAATGGTTACAAGTCAATTTTAGACGTTTAAGACATTTTTTGAAGGGGGGTTTGTATGGGGGCTAAGGTCAAATAAGGGTTGATCATAACGAAAATCTGCAGTGTCATTTATACTTATATGAAACTTATTTGTGCCAATTTTTAGAGAGATAATAGTATATTTGACGTAATTATGGCATAAAAAGCCCAAATCGGGAGGTACGGTTGTATGGGGGCTAGGTGAAATAATGGACCGATTTCAACCATTTTCAATAGGCTTCGTCCTTGTGCCAAAAAACATGCTTGGTCCAAATTTCATCAAATTATCTCGAAAATTGCGGCCTGTACCTTGCGCACAAGGTTTACATGGATAGCCAGCCAGCCGGACAGACGGACGGACATGTCTTAATCGAAAATGTGATTCTGAGTCGATCGGTATACTTAAAGGTGGGTGTAGGACCAATATTTTTGTGTGTTACAAACATCAGCACAAACGTATAATACCCTCCCCACTATAGTGGTGTAGGGTATAATAAAATGTTCCATAAAAAGAAAATCTGTCAAAATTTGTAATAAAGAACTAAATTTTTCGGAAAAGAAAATTTATCAAAAATATTCTATAAAAAGAAAATTAATTTTTTTATAAAATTGTTTTTTTTTTTTATATTTTGTTTACTAAACACCAACCAACTTCAATTTATGTAAGTGAATTGACATCGATCCCATCTGGATTAATAAATCTACACAATGAATCACAGTGACTGTTAAATATTATTGTTTAACTTGAAATTAGCCAAACATGTTATGAATTATTTATAAAAAAACTTTTAAAAATGTAAACAAAACTTACTTGAAGTTGCCCACTGCTGGCCATTTAAAATACCCCTTAAAGTTGCATTTAAATCTCTACGACAGGCGGCCTCTTCTATGAATTCCAAACTATGACGATATAATTCCATTTCAGTAGAAGTCAAATATGAAGGTCTAGGCTCAACCGAAACATTGTCTGTTAAAGCCCATAATCCGTGCAATTGGTTAAACAGTAAAGCCACACAAATAATGTGGAAAACACGACACATTTTATTTAAATTTCTTGAATATAATTTTTATGATTAAAAAACTCTTTTTGTTTTTTTTTTTTTTTTTGATTTCTTAGCACTTTTATAAATTTAAAACATTCACTTGTAATTGCAAATATTAAATAAAATTGAAATTTCTATGTTTATTTTTCTAACACAAAATATCAAGAAAAACAAATACTAGACAATTAATAATATTTATTTCTATTTGCCCGCAAATTCATCGATTTATTTGCTTAATAATGATGCATGAATGTTCTTTTGTGACAAAGCGATTTTTTATTTATATTTTATTTTTTACTATTTTAATATTAAAGGCATATTTCTTTAAATATTCCTTATTTCGTTTTATTTTTAATTGTTTTTTTCCGTTTCCGCCAACCGTACGCTTTGAAATTTTAACTACAACTGTTGTTAACATTCTGCATTAAACAGGTGGTAAGCCAAGCTCAAGTTTAACAGCACGATTTGCAACATGTTTCTATAATTTACAAACATACATGTTTGTTTTGTTTATATAGACAAATGTTTATAAACTTTGTTACTGGCAAGAATGCGTCATAACACGAATATGTATATTGAAATTTTTATTTACATATTTTCTCTTCTTCTTCTTCTCTCAAAGTTTGACATGTGTTATTTTATAATGATTCCGAAAATATTTTGAATATAGTATGAGCACCGATTTCAAAAAAGTATTTTTCAGTAAATGAACTAGAACTGAACTAGAACTGAACTAGAACCGAACTAGAACTGAACTAGAACTGAACTAGAACTGAACTAGAACTGAACTAGAACTGAACTAGAACTGAACTAGAACTGAACTAGAACTGAACTAGAACTGAACTAGAACTGAACTAGAACTGAACTAGAACTGAACTACTAGAACTGAACTAGAACTGAACTAGAACCGAACTATAACTGAACTAGAACTGAACTAGAACTTATAATCGAATAAATTTAAATTCTCTACACAGATTTTATTTTAATTAATTTCATACAATTCATTTATTTTATTTCAATTATTTCATTTTAATTATTGGCTAATTCACTTCGATTAAATACCGCACGTTAATTAACTTATTCGCTCATCATCAACTCTCAACTGACTTCTTTTTTGCTTTTACTCCTTCTCCTTTTCTGACATTTGACATCTTGACCAGTGATGTAAACTTTTGCGCTTTCAGTCGGCCATCCTGTCATCACAATCGACCTCGATTGATTGCTGGACTGTTCTCGCCGATGTCTTCTTTCTCATCATCACTTGACGACTCGTATTCGACTGGTGGTAGGGTGCAAAATGGCTTGATTTTATCGGATGCATAAATTGACGTATAGTGACGCTGCGTTCGTCTAGACCCAGGCAAATCCTCGATGACGTACCGGTCTTTATCGAGAACCTTTGTTATTATGAATGGGCCCTTATAAAGAGGCTCCAACTTTCTAGAAGTACCCGTCGATGTTGCCTCATTTTCTGCTAGAACTAAATCGCCCACGCCGAATTCTTTAGGTCGGGCATGTTGTTGGTCATAACGTTTTTTAGCTACTTGTCGTTGCAAGTTAATCTTCTCAGCTGTTTCGGCACGCAATTCTTGCAAGGTGTGGTCATCTATTACCTCGCTACTGTGTAGGGCAAGGACAAGTTTATTTTGTAAAATATCCCTAGGCTGAAAACCGAATAAAAGTTCTTGAGGTGTTTTTCCTGTGGTCTTATTAACCATGGTGTTGAGAGACCACTGTATTCGCCGTAATTGTTCGTCCCAACGTTTGTCTTCTCTCGTAGATGGTCGAAGCATTCCTAAGATTGTACGATTTGTACGTTCCGCATGCCCGTTAGCTCGTGGTGTACGGACGGCATTTAGTATATGTCGTATATCATTATTTTGGCAATATCGCTCGAACTCGTGCGACGTAAACGCCGTTCCACGATCGGTGATGATTCGTGTTGGCACGCCAAAGTATTCGCTGATTTCGTTTAGGTTGCTAATAACGTGTTTGCTCGCTGTACTTTTTACTGCTTTTATTAGGGTGAATTTGGTAAATGCGTCCACGATGACCAAAATGTGTTCGTTGCGTTTAGATGATTTTGGGAACGGACCTAGGTGGTCCATATGTACCGTATGAAATGGAACGGGTGTTATTTTATCGTAGTGGTATGCGCCCTCGTGCCTTCCACCAGGAGATTTATTGAATGCACATTCCACACACGCTTTGATATGCAATTTTACAGCGTTTCGCATTCTAGGGAACCAAAAATGTTTTTGAAGACCAGTTAACGTTTTCTCCACTCCCAGATGTCCTGCGTTGTCGTGTTGTCCTTGTATTATGCGCCACCGTAGAGCTTTTGGAACCACCCATAGACAATTTTCACTGACTTTGCGGAATAGTCTGCCGTTCTTGATTAAATACTCCTTGCACATTTCTTTATTACCAGCTTTAACCTTTTCAATAATTTCACGGATATTGTCGTCTTGCAGTTGCATCGAAAACAGGAGATCTTCTTCATTTACAGTTGTTTTTGCGATACGTAATGACGCCGGATCCATAGCACGAGATTCTTCGCATGGTGCCCGACTTAACGCGTCGACGTGTTGCATACGTAGACCGGATCGATGCTCAATATTCAGATCGAAATCCTGAATTCGCAACCACCATCTGGCTATTCTTGGGATTAGCTCCTTTTTCTGCATAGTCGTTTTAATAGCATTACAATCGGTTATGACGGTTACTCTTTTTCCGTACACGTAATAACGGAAACGTTCAAGAGTTTCAACGACCGCCAAAGCTTCCAACTCATAGCTATGATATTTGCGTTCATCATCTGTAGTTGACCGGCTGAAAAAGGCTACAGGTTTCCATCCATCGTTTTCACTTTGTAGAAGTGCGCCGGCTAGGCCTATTGAACTTGCGTCTGTATGTATTTGGTGCTCTGCCGCGGTTCTATAACCTACTACTACCGGACTTGTTGTGAGGCTGGTCTTTAGCTTTTTAAAGGCTTCATCCTGCTCATCCTTCCACTGGAACTGCATATCCTTTTTTAATAAATTACGTAACGGCTCGGAAATTAAAGCGTAGCCTGGCACGAATTTGCGAAAGTATCCACTCAAACCTAAGAATTGTCGCACTTCTCGCACGTTAGATGGTGTAGGGAATTCTAATATTGCGTTTGTTTTTGCCGTTCCCGGACTCATACCGCCACTATGAATTTGATGGCCTAGGAACTCAATTGATTGTTTTAAAAACTCGCACTTATTGACATTGACGGTTAAACTTAGGTCACGTAAGACATTAAATACGCGACGTAATTTGCCGAACATTTCGTCAATGTCGTTGCTACCAACCACAATGTCATCCATATAATGAATGATGTCGCCATCCTGAGTTTTCTCCCTTATTAACGCCATCAATCGTTGGAAAACTGCAGGCGCGTTTTTGAGTCCAAATGGCATCCGTTTAAACTCATACATCCCGTCAGGTGTCACAAAAGCGGTAAACTTCTGGCTGCTTTCTTCGATTGGGATTTGATAATATCCGCTATTCAAATCCAAAATCGTGAAGTAGGTAAACTTCATCACTTCTTGCAAACGCTCCTCGATGTTTGGAGTGGGGAAAATCTCTTTAAACCATATGTTGGTTTAAACGACGATAGTCTATACATAATCGATCGTCGCCGTTTTTCTTTTTTACGAGTACGATGGGACTGGCATATTCCGACGTCGATTTTCTGATAATATCGTTCGATAAAAGCTCATTTATTAATTTTCTTACCGATTCTTTTTTAGTTTCTGGGAGTCTATACGGTTTCGTTACGATTGGCTCATTTGTTGACAGTTTAATTTTCATTTGCACTGCACGCGTTAACCCGAGTTCACTCAGTTCTTTGCCGAAAACATCACGGTATTCGTTAATCAGTTCAAATAAACAGGATTGAGTTGTGTTATCGATTACACCATATTTAATTTCCGTTATTTTATTACGCGATAATTCATTGTTCTTGGGGTTTTCGGCATTTAAATATTCGAAATGTTGTCCGTTATCGTTACATATAAGGCGTACACTATTGTTTGCGAAAATATCGTTACCGATTATTATATCTGATGAAAATGTGTCGTCACCCGCAACGTACAGATCTACCGAGAGTTCAACTTCATCGACAATAATTTTTGTTTTTATAATTTCGTTTAAGACGCGAGTACCGCCACCAACCCCATTAATACGTACACTACATGATTCTCTATTTTTATTTATTTTAACCGCTTTCGAGTGTTTAATCATACTGCATTCACTGCCGGTGTCGATTAATGCAAACATTTCCACCCCATTGACTCTCACTTTTTTATCAGTACAAATTTTCTTCACACTATTCGTATTCCGTACGTCTGACTTGCCGCAGTTTTCAGGTGAGCCCCTCGGATGCACTCGTTGGCAATCTTTGCACCTCTTACGCCGTTGTGGTTTAGGGCACGCACTGGATATATGACCTGCCTCTGAACAGTTGAAGCACACGATTGATCTACGTTCAATTTTTGGCTTGGCCCCAGTGTCTATTGTTTTATTTACGTTTTTGTTGTTATCAACACGCTTTGGCGTTGGCGCAGTTCTGATGTTTGATGAGCAGCCTGCAATGTTCGTAAAATATTCTTCTAAGGCTTCTCGCATTTCTTTCATTGATTTAAATCGAACTGTAGCAATGGCTAACTGCAGCTCACGATGCTTCAGCCCCTCTCGAGTGTATTTAATTATCGCAGACTCACTCAAACCATGTCGTTTACCTAAGGCGCTCATTCTAAAACAGTATTCGTTTATGGGTTCGTCATTTCCCCTCGTTGCGTTGGACATTTTAAAGTGTACGTCAGCCTCATCTGGTACTGTACTAAACTCCTCTTTCAAGGCAGCTGCAAGCTCAGACCAAGTCACGAAAAGGTCTGACGATGCGTCCAGCCATAATTTAGCGGGACCTTTCAACTTGGAGTATATCGCCAGCATCAAACACCGTTCATCCCAATCATATGCACGTATAGACTTTTCGACTCTGTCAATGAATTGTTCAACACTAAATATTGAATCCTTTGTGGGATCGTATTCCGGGAGGGTATCAGAGATTTCCTTTACGCTGTATACATTTCTTTGACGAGATTCACGATTTGGTAATGGTGATCTCGGATGACGATCCTGCACATCGGTACGTATTTCTGTTGAGGTTAAGGGTTGAGCGTTTTGATTCGTTTGTCGTTGTACGATAGTCATCACGTTTTCTATCATACTCCGTAAATCATCGATTTGTGCCCGCATACTTCCGTCTAAGCGGGTCTCATCTACCTCGATTTCGTCGGAACCTTCAGCTTCTATAAGACGTTCTACTAGTTCAGCTTTTGAACCATTTGTTGACAAATCTCGTT